AATCTATCCTGAACTGCAGGTAATCATTCCAAGTACATGATGCAGCCACTGTCAGCTTATCATTCACTTGAACAGGCACAGTGGCTGCATCTGTGTGGACACACCTGGGTAATAAACCTATCATGTTTATCAGATGGGCAGCCAAGCAGTCTACTGAAGGAGTGCACATGGTAGGTAACAAGACTGCTGCAAATTGAAGGGCAACGGCTTCGCATTCTCAGCCGGAAACAGGAAATTATGTTACATTTATGTAAATAAAAACTTTGTCTCAGATTCACACAAAAAAAACCCCAAAAAACAATTTGCTAATGAAAATTGTATACTGTGAGGTATGATGCCAAACATACTGGGGCTTAGAGTTTATCCTCTTCTTCCTCATACCCATTTTACCCAACTATTACAACCATCGCAAAAGGTCTCCTAAAGATCTATCTTTTAGAATTAATTGGAGGCAGGGAAGAATCTTGGATCCTCTACTCTATCCAGCTGAAGAGAAGACATGAATCATAGCAAAATTTGTAGACAGACAAACTAACATTTCATTGTAGTTGGCTCACTACTATGAGCCAACTACCATTTCATTTGCCATGGCACGCTCCTTAAGAAATGGACCTCAGTAATAGGATGTTTATCTGTCTAATTTGTGAGCAGTTTGTGAAACCAATAAAGTCTGTTCAGCTGGAAGACTCATAAGATCCAAGGTTCTTGTGTGACTGCTATGGTGTATCTGTGGATGTATATGGTCGCCTTGGGTTAAAGAGCACTGTATATGCATTCAGATCGCCTAATATGACAGCTGTGACTAGTTCCTCACTCAGACCTCCTGATCTTTGAGAAAATGACTTATTAAGTGCCACTCTCTTAAGGTGCCCATACACCTTACGATTATCGTACGATAATTGTATGCGATCGACTTTTCGTACGACAATCGTAACGTGTGAATAGAGTGCCCGACCGATAGTACTGTTCAATCGTACGACTTTTGGCGGTCAAACATGTTTGAAAACTTTGCTAGATCGTACGATTTTCGTAAGGTTGCTGGCGTTTCCGTCCGTCAAAAGTCGTACGATCTACACTGCGCTTGCGCTAACGAAAATACGGCAAATCATTTACCGCATTTCGTCCAGGTGCTTTTCGTTAATTACGGCTAAATTAATCTTGCGATCATCGGGGCAGGATGGGGCCGTCGTACGAAAATCGTACGACGGTTCGATCCTCGGACGAAAAGTTTCGTCCGATAAATCGTAAGGTGTATGGGCACCTTTAGTGTTCATTAAGTGTCACTCAAAGTCATTATTGGATAAACAAACAGAGGATACAGCTGTGAAATTTTTTTTATCAATGTTAAGGTCTTTTAGGAGAGGGTAGAGATACATACTACTGCTTTGGGGATATGTTGCCCTCAGACTCTGAGATTCTAAAGAAGCAAGAAGGGGTTTTAACCTCCCAAAAAAGAAAACATTTTTGGGGGAGCTGACTTTTAAATAAGGAAATGGGAACAATAGCAGTAAACTAAGCATAGGTTCATTAAGTGTTACTTTAATATGAGGTCAACATGTATTTGTATATTATTTCAAAGACCAATCTGCATACAAAATTTCAAAGATCAACTTAATATTTCTAAAATATGTGGTCACCAATTTATTATACTGCAACACAGAGACAAGTCACTGTTTAGGGGACATTGATTGTAAGCTCCTTGAGGGTAGGGACTGATGTGAATGTGCAACTATGTAAAGTGCTGCGTAAATTGTCAGCGTTTATAAATACCTGTAATAAATATATATATATATAAGTAAATAGGATTTTTTTTACTATTTTTCTTTTTTTGGTAATTGAATCAGAACTGCCATACTGCTTTTTAGGACAGGACATTCTTAGACAGCATTAATACCAGAAAAGTGACAAATACTATACTGAATCCCCCCCAATCCATTGCCTTACCTAGCATACAACATATGACCTTTCCTCTGGCGAGATAAATTTAGACACCTAATTACTGTATTCATTGACATCCTAATGAGAAGAATCACATACAGTACAAGCATATAAACCTACAAAGTCCCCAGATACCTTCCACACTGGAAAGATGGGGGATATCCAAATATACAATCTTATATAAAATATAGGTATTGGGCAACTGAAGGGAAGAACTACAGTATCTCCCTGCACACATGCTATAGTATACCAAACTACGAAAACGTTGGAAAGGAAATACTGTGGTATTGTTAGATGCTCAGGGATCATTCTCCCAACAGGCAACTATCAGATCTTTTGACTTTATCACTGAACAATCTGTTCCGTGTGCCCAGCTAAACATTTACAATAAGCACTGCCGTTTAATTAACAACCACTTGAAGTCTTCAACAATCTGCGTCCTTAGAAAAATCACAGCCTGATCGTTCACAAAAAGCCCAACTTAAATTCTTGTAGTTATGCGGGGATAAAAAAAAAAAAAAAAGAGATCCTTGCATTGTAATTCAATGAGATTGGAGGCACAAGTGATGTTCTGGGAGATGGGGGCTATTATAAACAGCTGCGACCTGTGCTGGTAAACAGCGGAGAGAGAGATGGAGTAAGCTGCGCATTACATTAAACAGGATGCACACGCATTTTATATGAAACAGGTGAAACGTGCACTGCAGGCAAACTGGATTTATGAAATCGTAAATGACGTTAGAACCCAGAAGTAACACTATTTATAGATTAAGATCCAGTTTCACAATTACTTTATTGGGAGAGTGTGCTTAAAGGGAACGCGGCCAACATAGATCAGCTATTAGCTTGTAAAAGAAATGTCACAGAAAAAAAAGAGCATTCCCGCTGGGATGTTATAGTGCGGTTTTATGTGTATTGCGGTGTACTGTAATTAAAATCTACTACACCACGTCATTCAATGATGCTTAATCCATTGAAAGCTGTAACAATATACAGGGACTTGTCAGATGTATTGCAATGCACCTTTGGCAGTCCTAAGCTGAAATGTGAAGTATAAAGCTGACCATACACCAGGAGATTGACGTTCAAACATTTACAGAATGCTCGATTTTCTGATGGTTAGTGGGATCTAATCAACGTCTGGTTTCAACTGTAGGGACGAGGAAAATCAAAGGCGCAGGATGGAAAGTTTTTCTAGTTTCTTACCCAAATTACACACACACACACACACACCAGCATGTGTGCTAGGCAGGAAAGTAGCATGTTACCTACATCTGGAATTCTATTCAAGTAGCAGGTCTGGATGATTTTCTTGCAGGCTTTTGAAGAAAATTAACTGACTCAATGATGGGAAGATCAAATGTACTGATAAACTATTACAAACAAGAAACATTCTGACAGCGTATGCCCAGCTTATGACCGGTGATTTCCAGCTTGTAGAGCTACACCTCTCAGCATGTCCTGCCATTTTTTTCAAAACACCTACAGTATGATGATCCAGACTTATCAATGTTTAAAGAAGAACTCCGGGCAAAACTCTTATTACCATTGCACTGGGGCTAGAGGGAGCGAAGGCGGAAGGGCTGGTCTAAGAGCAAGCCACCTCCGAGGATCAGGCGAGTATAACTTTTTTATTTTCCTCCCTAGACCAAATCGAGCAGTTAAACCTTGCAGTGCCAGGGTAGCCCCACTGCAAGGTTTAATAAAAGTTATGCCTGGAGTACTTTTTAAGGAGGACTAGATATACCAGCCAGTTATCAGCACCTTCAGCTATTGATGCCTCCAAAATAAACCAACAATGTTTCTTAAGCATGACACATGTGACCCTGCCCCCGGCTGTCATAGAACTACAAGTGTAGCTCAGCCTGCATCAAGCATACTCAATATCAGCAGATTATAAGTGCCATAAAGGTAACACAACTTTCAGGGACATTGCTGCTGAAGCTCTATACTAAAGCTGGCCATGCACTACAGGACTGAACAAGAAAAAACAATTGATTCCTCTATATCCTCTAGATACATGAACAGTGGCTGCAGTCACTGTTCGGCTGACAATTTTTCACCTGGCAGCCTCAGCAATGTCAACTGAGAATTCTACTCAACAGAGGGGGTTCCGGCAGTGTTACACACAGGACTTAGTCCAAATTCCAGCACAGTATGGCCAGCTTTAACCCCACAACATGTGACCTTGCCCCCCGGCTGTCATAGAACTACAAGTTGCAGCTCAGCCTGCATCAAGCATACTTAATATGTCAGCAGTTATTAACTGCAAAAACATTAAAACAACTTTCAGGGACAATGATGCTGAAGCTCTATATTTAGTTATTCACTCAGGTCACGAGAATATGAATATAAAGTGTAAATACAAAGAGACAATTTGAAAAAACTAAATCATTTTGTTATCTAATTAGAGCTGAAAATTAGGTGCACTTCCACAATTTTAAAGAGCAAATCTTGAAATACTGGGACGGTCCTTGGAGTCAGCTCCATTGACAATAAGAAAAAAACCTTAAAAAGGTGGGCGCCAGATGTAAGTTGTAAGGGGCATTGACTACCTGGCTCCTGGTATTTTTCATGCTTTCTGATATTATACCTTGATGGTAGTATATATATTTGTTTATACATGCATGCATGCATGTGAGATGGGGACCTTAGATTGTAAGCTCCTTGCCTTCAGTGACTGCTGTGAATAAACAGTATGTAAAGAGCTGCATCAAAATTGCCGGCACTATATAAATGCCTATGATAAATGTTAGCAATGAAAGGTCAGCAGGGGTTGATTGTCAGCTGCATTGGGCTAATATAAGTATCGGAGAATTAGAGGCAGGTGAGGCAAGGTGTAGCATGCTTTGCTGCAACCACATGAGAGATGCAAGCACATGTCTTTGAAACGACAGCACGTCAATGACAGTCGACTTTACCTGTATGCTGCACTGGGCTAACATAAGTACCGGAGTATTAGAAGCAGGTGAGGCAAGGTGTAGGATGTTATGCTGCAACCACATGAGAGACGCAAGCACATGTCTTTGAAATGACAGCACGTCAATGACAGTCGACTTTACCTGTAGATGCCAAGTGGAAAAAGAAGAGCAGACATGCACACGGGAACCACCGTGTCATCATTTTATCTCCACAGTATCTTCTTCCGATGCTTCCACAGTCCTCTGACAAATTCCCCCAGTTTGTTAGTTCTTCCGTTATTTGTTTTTATCCACCAGCTCCTCGTCCAGCCTGGGAAGGGAAAGAAGAAAACTTGAATCTGCGGCTGATGAAAACATCCTGCTGACATATCCCACCCCCAATTCCTTGCAGGACAGAGCGGAATACAAGCACTTACATGAGCCCAGAACGGACAGCAAAGGAAGTGACACTGCCTGAGGATCACACTGTGCACAAAAACATTTCGGAAACTTTGCAGATTGTCAGGGGGAGGCAGCTTGTTAAAGAAGAAGAAAAAAAAAAGACAGCAACCCACAAGACAGCACAAGCGTGATCAGGATAAACACATCAAGCAGATGCAGAGTGCTTCCAATAAGAACGATGAAGCCAGATGTTTGGACATGCCCTTAAAGCCAAGAAAAACCTTGCTGGGGTTGAGGGATCAGTGCTAAGTGGCATCTGACAGCTCCAAACTTACCCAGAGCTCTCAGGGTGACGCTGATGAGCTAATGCCTGTTCTCAGTTCCCACTGGGCTGAAGTTTCATACATCTCCGGCTCTGGGACACTCAAAGCTTGGGAGAGGAAAGAAGGGGGCAGCAGCCTGGCTGTTCCCGGAGGCGTGGTTTGATGGAAGGCAGCTCTACTTTACTACTGCTCTGTCAATGGATGAAGTATCTGCATCAAGGAGAACGCAAGGAGTAGCTTCGCCATCTAGTGGTTTTACCAATATTACTATTTTATGGATTAATATTCACCGCTCTTAAATTGGCCATACATTGGTGGACGTTCCTACAGGAAAAAAAAAATGTAAACAAAATCAGAGACTTGATGAACGGTGCTCGAAATTTCGTTTGATTATAACATTCGACTTTGGAATGAATGGAGTTTCCTGAATGAAAACCACATTCACTGTTAGAATTTTGTTCATTGGAGAAAAATATTGCATCCTGTTCTCTTAATTTTTTACGGCTGAAAATTATTATCGCTTTACCCCATGAAATTTTGGAAAAATAAAATGAACTTACAGAAAACGGCCCATGATCAGTTCATACTGGAGCGCGAGCGTATTAAAAACGATTTGGGAGCTTTTTCTTTTGCAACTTTTGTGCGTTTTCCACACGTTTTTCGTGTGTTTTCATCCTTGAGTGGGAAGTACAGTTTTTAGCCCCCATTTCCACTAAGTTTTTGTTCACACCTCGGCATATCGTGATGCATTCACGGGTGTTTTTTCCCGCGTTTGCCATGCATTGATTTCAAAGACTGCCGCACCTGTAATAAATGTAGGAAAGTAGCTCATGCAGAATTTTCAGCTGTGAGTGTGCCGTTTTTCCCCCCACCATGCGCTTGATGTGCGAAAGAACAAATGTTTCTCCAGCCGCGTTTGGGATGCCATTACCATCTAAATCGCATTGCAAGTGCATTGCACTTTGGCGCATTGCATGAATGCGTCTCAATGTATGCGTTTGGCACGCGTTCACAGAACCTGAAGTTGTAAATAGGGAGTTAAAGCATTAAAAAAAATGTCACCCTGGTTATTTTAGCTATAATGTGCTAGTTTGCACAGCATCTTAGTGCATTATGGCAGACTTGTGCTGGCCATACACTAGAAGATTTCTGAACAAACTTGAATACCAAAAATCTTTAGGTTTGACTTTCTATTAGTTGATAGGTTCAAATCGATGATTGATTTTGACCGTAGTGCCAAAAAAAAAAAAAAACTTGTAGGAGCAGGATGGAAAATTCTAAGAGTGAATGTGGTTTTCATTCAGGAAACTCCATTCATTCCAAAATCAAATGTTAAAATAAAACAAAAAAACAGAGACATTATTTTCCATTCTTCAGATATATATCTAATTATATATATCTATATCTATATAGATAGCTATTTATAGATGGATAGATAGATAGATATTTTTTCTATATATATTTTTTATTTTATTTTATGTTAGTAATAATTTGCATAGTAACAATGGAGATGATCGGATGAATATTTTACAAATACATGTCAGAAGGACAAACATAAATGCCTGTGTACAGTGACCCTTGTATGATCCAAATAAAGTGGCAAGGTGCTCACAAATAAAAACAGCCCAATAAATAATCGTACATCTTATAGTATGATTAGGTAGATAGAGCGACTGATTGATAGATTTAGTAATTTGCTTTCAAAACAATTTTAAAGTGTATGTCAGGGTAGAATAAAAAAAAATACAAAAAAACAAAAAAACACACGTATACAGTGCATGCTCTCCAATATATGCACATTTCCATAGGTTTTAGAAAATGTACAGAAAATACTTGTGTACTTGCCAGAAATGCACACAGCTCATGTTGTGGGCTATATCCAACATGGTCAACAGTTTTTTGGGGGGTTTTTTTTGCTCTTATCAAGAAGATAACAATATATATATATTATATTTAACAGACTAAAAAGGTAGCAAATAAAAGATGAGCATTGCTAGATTATTTGTGAACACTGAACTCAGAAATACAAAGGAAGACAGCAAATAGTCTGTGGTGACTGTAATCATTTTACTTTAGTTGTAATTTACAGTTACAAAGAGTAATCGTTAGCTACTTTTTTAGATTTTATTTTACAGTCACGTATCCCCACCACATTGACTCAGGTTCTCTTGTCTCCTAACAGGGAGTGCATCCCCATAGCGGGCGAGCCCAGTGTTATGTCACAATGCCAACAATGCTGCTGTATTAGCTACAAGCAGCTTCGGCCGGCCACGCCCCATACCTAGTACCTGCTGTTTTTTGACAGGGAAGCACCTGCTGAATCAACATAGAAGGAATGCACAGGGGGCATGGCTAGCTTCAGGGCCATTATTAGGAATCATGGGACCACATACAGCCTAGCTGGCAGGGCCCTCCCCATTTAAATACACGTGCATGCCCTACGAGCACGTGTTTATTCAAGTTAGATGGTGGGGTGGCAGGGTTGGGTTTTTTTTATTATTTATTTTAGACTTTATCACCTGTTTTAATTTCAAATGTTTTCACTTAACTTTTGCTATCACAAAGGGGATAACAAGCACCTATGTGACAGCAATTGGAGGTGACAGGTTCTCTTTCTGGAGACATCAGGGAATCTATTAGACCCAGCCCTGTCTGTTTACCTGGCACTTCAGCCAAGTTTGTGACCGCTCTGAAGCAGGAAGTGCTGAGAGCACAGAACTTCCTGCTTCATTGATCACAGAGCAGACGTTCCTCGGTCTGCTCCCGCACTCTATCTAGACACCATTTGCTATGGTCCCGGCCCCCAGAGGTGTGGAGGACCCCAAAAACCATGTGGCGGAGGGCAGCACAATCGCAGTCTAGGATCAGTTGTAGTTGACAAGCTGCACAGGGAGTTCTTCTTGGGGCAAGCTGTGTGGGCAATCTCTGTTGGGCCTCCCTCCTGTCCTTATAGGGGCCCAGGCCTGGTACAGGAAGGCTGGCTGTAACCGGCTATGCTGACTATGGGAGATATAGGCACGATGTGTGTCGGCATGGCATCTTGCATCAGAAGGATGCCCAGCTATACCAAGTGTGGTCAAACTGCAAAATGACATATGCAGAACTGGCAGGATCACCAGGTATTTGTCAGAAAAACAAGAAATAGCAACTGAACATAGTACATCTACAAATATCACAGAAAAACAGACAATGAACAGAAATCCCAGCACTCCGTAAATGAAATTCAAAAAAAGTCAATTTGGACTAAACGTCACACATATTGCATGATCCCTGGATTATGCGATATGTGTGACGTTTAGTACAAATAAATGGACTTTTCTTGAATTTCATTTACGGAGTGCTGGTGATTTCTATCGTTCATTGACTGTTGCACTCGGCGCCATCCGTGATTGTCACTGCGAGCACCACTATGTTCACTTGGACCGAAAGCGCTGTAAGGAGTGCAGGGTGACCTAATGTTTTACAGAAAAAGACAATATTCATTTTGGGGTAACATTACACTTTTTTTATTACAGGTATTTATATAGCACCAACATTGTACGCAACACTTTACATACTGTACATTCACATCAGTCCCTGCCCTTAAGAAGCTTCCAATCTAAGGTCCCAATCTCACATACACAGACCAGAGCCAATTTAGACAGGAGCCAATTAACCTTCCAGCATGCCTTCGGAATGTGGGAGGAAACCAAAGTACTCGGAGGATACCCACGCAAGCACAGAGAGGACATGCAAACTCCATGCATACGGTGTCCTGGCCGGAACTCAAACTGGAGACCCCCAGTGTGCTAACCACTAAGCCACTGTGCTGCTTTTAAGGTTTACATACACTTTAAGCTCATAGCTCCTTGCCCATCATGGAATCTATACAATACATGAAAATAAACTATGTGTAGACAGCTCTGTAGCTAGCAGTCCAAATGCATCGGTCAACAGAACATTATTTCCCCTAGAACATTCCCACGGTGAGGTGACCAGAAGGACTATGATCATTTTCTGTTTACTGGCTCTTAAAAGTATTTATTGTAATTCATTAATTTAGGCCAAAATAAAAAACAAAAACATTTAATACATTTATATTTGAGGATGATATTAACAGCATACTGGCAAAGAAAGTGACAGGCAACATTTTGGAAGGCCGTTGTATTTCTCTATAAAGCTGGTTCTTCCAGAATGATATTCCACATGGACTAAAGACTCAAATGTGCTTTTTTTGTTCCCAATGAGGATGAAAAGAGCTTTTTTCCATCTGTGGTACAGGAGAAAACACAGGAGTCTGGATCAAGGGAGAGATGGGCAGGTTACCTAATCTATTATCCATCTTTGATCCATCTTTGATTTGTGGCTAATAGGTAATTAGTGAGATGCAGCTGCACTGCTAATTCTGCTGCATGGGCCTGAGAAACAGATCAGTCTGCTGAAAGTTTGGAACTGCTCATTTAGGCCCCATTCACACACAAATCAGCCTGCACGTACAGCTCCGTGCGGGGCCGTCCCAAGTAGCTGCTGGGAAGGACAGGTGCTGTGTGTGATTAGTATGCAGCCTGGTCCTTCTCTATGGGGCTACGTGGCCATACGCCCCCCTACGCTCACCTCAATTGCAGGTCCGTAGGGGTCACAATGGTAAAAGCAGATTGTAAGCTCTCATGGGCAATTATTATTAATAAATGGTGGCACAATGTCCTTTAGCTGTAAACTACTTCCGGTCTTGCCCTTGCGCTCCCCCACCTGCTGAAGCACCCAAGGTGGTCTGCTCTTCATCTACCCTTTAGCCCAGCCCTGGTGACCACAGTAGTTAAAGTTAATATCATCATCATCATAATTATTAGCATTGTGCTACTATTATGCACATACCTAAATCTCAGTAACGAGTGAGGGGTCATCCGGCTGTCAGTGCAAATCATGCCTGCAGTAGTGACCCAGATACTAGAAAACTAGTGGAGATGTTAGTTCTGCAGCCAACTGGAACTTTTAGCCTTTTTTATACAGTCCAAATGACACAATAAAACACATAGCAACCAACAACCTATACCTTAAGCTGCCCATACATAATGCAAGAGGATACCTGTCAGCATAAAGTCTGGTGTGCCACATAAACAGCAATATTATTGGCTGTGCAAACTGTTGGCGCTATATAAATCCTGTATAATGATATTTTAAATGGTCTGCCGGATAAGTATATGTTTGACCACCATGGCATCCTAATATCGTATT